ATATATATATATATATGTGTGTGTGTGTGTGTGTGTGTATGCAACATTAATGTTTGGTCCTGCAGCAGCCGAACCGGTTCAATCAAAACCACAAACTGCAGATGATTTTGCTGATTTCATTTTATTGCACTGATACCATGATGCAAAGAAATAAAAAGAAATGAAATAAAAAACAAAGAGTGAAAGAAAATCAAAAGAAGCTTTTTCACTGTAGAACCACGTTCTGCATGATTTCAGCCACACACCCTGCTGAGGCCGACGCCGAGCGGCCGCAGAACCGGACACACAAAGAACCCGCAGCTAGCAAAACCACACATTCAAGTATTTCTATCATTGCACAGGCACTAGAGTTTCCTACTGAATATATGAACGTCCAGCCAGAGGCGAGTCAGAGACAACAGATCAGCTGCTGCTCAGGAAGGAGAACCATCTCCCCACATCAGACACCAAACACATTAAAACCAAACAACCAGAGGAATTAGTGTCACATTTGGTTTAAATCTCACCTGCTGCACAGGAAGAGGCCTGAACAGCTGCTGGGCACTGACTGGGTGTTTGAGAGGAGAGAGAACCATGAGAAACTAACAGCTTGGACTGCTGCACATGCTGCCACTGCCCCCTGGTGGGCACACAGAGAAGTACACTGTTCTGATGGAAATCATTTTGCTTCCTCTTCCTCTGATTTTTTTTGGCAAACAATAAATATAAACTTTAATAAATACGCTGTCCAGTAAAAGCTTAGAAAGAAGATGATCCAGGAGTAAACCAGTACTCCCACCAGAACCCTCCGCCTCCGATAAGACGCTGACACGGCAGAATCAGCAGAAATCAGGTTTAAAAAAAACAAAGTTTACAAAATAACCTCATTTTGATCCAGCTCTTCTTCTGTGGTAAAAGGCTGCAGCTCCAGCTCTTCTTCTGTGGTAAAAGGCTGCAGCTCGCACTAAGGAAGTGAGTTTGGAAGTTCGATGCCCTCAGAATTCTCTGAATTGGACCAGACTCCGTAACCAGAGCCCATGTTCTGGGTTTGACCCGGTTCTAACCTACGACCTGTGTCTGACCCGGTTGGTTCTAAGCTACATGTTGATTTGAAGGAGTCCAGGTGAAACCCGGTGGTTCTGGCTCGGTTTGGGGTTCAGGTCGCAGTCTAATCGGTTCTCCTGGGAGCGGGTCGGACCCAGCCCCCTGGCTACCTCGTCCTGTGGCCGCTGCGGGCCCCCGGCGCCCCCTGCAGGTCGTTCTCCACCACGTAGCCGTAGCCCTCCTTGTCGATGCAGTCGGACAGCGTCTTCAGCACCTGGACACAGAGGAGCGGTATCAGCTGGTTCTGATGGCACCGCTGCTGAGCTCAGATCAGATGTAGCCTGTGTAGTGACCACCAGGGGGAGCCACTGGGCTCCACCCTGGGCCCCTTCCTGTTCATAATAGCTAATATGTATCTTTATGCTGATGACATCATCATTATTTACAGATTAGCATTAGCTGCTGCTAACGCTGCAGAGGCAACTAACTGCAGTGAAGTCGTCTGCTAGGCTCGGTGTTTCAGCACCAGTTTAGCTCTCTGCCCTCATCTCTTCCTGGTTTCTGATGTTGGGCTGCTTTTGTTCTGGACCAGAACCAGAACCATTTTCACTAACAGTTACGTAGATGGACTGATTCATCATTCAGAGCCAGTCCGGCCTGCAGGATCCGCCTGTGGTACCATGGCTAACTTTGAGTGAAGTCTGACCCATTTGGTCCTGAAGCACTGCAGGTTGGCTAGTAGCTGCTAGTGGTGCTAACGGAGCCAACACTGCTAACGGGTCTAATGCTGCTAATGACACTAAGAGAGCTAACGGTGCTAATGGAGCTAGAGGTGCTAACAGATCACTGACCAGGCGCAGGCGGCGGTCCATGGCGTCCAGGTGAGGCTGGATGAGAATCGGGTCAAGCCGGTCCCGCGTCATGGACTCGGCCATCAGAACCGACAGTTTGTACTCCTCCTTCGCCAGCAGCTGCAGACGCAGGTGGGTGGACTTCCTGACCCTGCAGGTCAAAGGTCACAGCACAGGTGAGGGCTGTGGATGATAGCCACCATCTTGTTTGTAGCATCTGTAGTTTTTATGTTACTGAATCTGAATCAGATGAGAGCAGCAGACCTGCAGCACTGCAGCAGAGGAGCCAGGATGGACATCTCATCATGAGAGTGTTTCCCAAAACTGGCAGGAAGCAGCAAACAGCAGCAGGAAGCAGTTGATGAGGCTGTTTATGATTCATAATCAGAGATTCGTTGAGCTGCGTGATTTTACCCTCTGCCGTTGTCCAGGTGGATGATGAAAGTCTCGTTTCCGAACTTCTCAAACGTCTCGTAGTGGTGCCGGTCCATGTTTCCTGCACACAAACAAGATGGAGGATGAAGACATGAATGCAGCGAGCGACGGTTGCCTAGGTAACGCTGCAGAAGAGACCGACCCATCAGGAAGTCGAAGACCGTCATGTCCATGACGTCCAGCAGCCGCGAGCCGCTGTCGTACGGCGGCGTCTGCTTCACCTCCTCGCAGTAATCCGGGTCCACCTCCCACCTGCAGGCGCGTTCAGGAACATCAGGAAACACCAGAGCCAATAATCACATCCATCACTTATTGACTGTTCTGTTAATCATGAACTGGAGCAGAAATGAAGCCAAAACTGAACAGAATGTAGAAACAGTCAGCATCAAGATGAAACCTCGTTCTGTTCACATTCTGGAAAAATATTCCATTAATTGCCGTTTGCATCAGATTAACCAGATAATCTACAATAATCCCCAGATCATCCAGACTCTGTGTTGATTCTCATGTGGATGTTTGAAGGGTTTTTATCTGCAGATGATCAAACCTGGAAAGTTATTGACAATAAAATGTTCTTATTTAAAAATAATTATTTGTTTATTTGCATTTTAGTGTATTTCTAATATTGTATAAATAGACAAATTTGCAGAATGTGCCGATTTTTGTATCTGATTAGTAGATACAATAATCAATAGATTAATTGATTATTTAAATAATGATTAGTTGCAGCGCTACATTTATGGTTATTAAATATGGTTCAATAATCTTTATGTTTTTATCTAAATAAACTTATTTTAACTTAAATTTCTGTCTGTCGTCTACATCCTGCTGCCTTTCTGGCTCTTTGCAGATCAAACTGACTGACTGGTCTTTCACAGGTGAGACCTCTGACCAGCGGTCTAGTCCAAACCTCTGTGTCTCTTACTCTGCCTTCTTGCGCTTGTGGTAGGAGCGCCTCCAGGGGTTCCTCCAGGTCTTGCGCTTGGCCAGGGCGAGGTCAGGCAGGAAGGCGGCCAGCGAGCCTTCGATCTGGTCGGGTTTTCCACACAGAGCGTGTTCAGTGGAGCAGTAGTAGGAGCATTCACCGTAGAAACACACGTTGTTGGCTGGAAACACACAGCAGGGTCAGCAGCTGCTGGCGCCACCTGGTGGCTGGAGGAGCACAGGACCAGTTCTACTGGGGAGATGGACCGGTTCTACTGGTTGAATGAACTGGTTGTACCTGGGGAAATGAAGAAAGTTCTCCACAGCTTCTTGTCTCTGGTTACGTCTCGAATCTCTTTGGTCATGTTGAGCAGCCGGCCGGCGACTGGAGGAACTCGGCGGAAGTCCAGGATCCTGTTGGACACAGAGAGACATGAGGACAGGAGACACTGAGGGACGATGGAGCAACGCTGATCAACACAGAACCCAGCATGAACCTGCTGGGTCGGTTCTGATGGGAAGCTCTGCTCTGATTGGATCAGACCAACATGGAAAAGTTCACGTAGTTCACTTGGTTCATTTGTTCCCAGTTTCAGAAGGTGGAACCGAGACGCAGAAGAACATTTCTCTGATGAAATCATTTTATTGTTTTAATGTCATTTTAATTTTTTTGTTAAACTCAATTTGTTTTTTTTAATCAGCTGTAATCAATCATCAAAATAAACAGAAATAAGTCAGTGTGTGCACAAAGAGCTGTTACTATTTTACTGAGTTATTCTGTCTGGAAATATTTCCTTGTTTTGCTGTGAATGTTTTGCAATCTCTGTCAGTTTTGGTCAAGATTCAGTGGGATTTTCCTGATGAAATAAAAGTTAATAAACAATAAAAAGAAAACAAAAATTTTAACTTTAATTGTTTTACAGCTATCCACCTGCTTCCTGGCGCTACTCAGACCAGTTGCAGGTTAACAGCACGGCCACTAGGGGGCAGAGCTTCACCACCACGCTCCGCGACAATGAAGAGGATGAGTCTTCCTCAGATACATTTTAACTTCAGCTTTTTGCTCATTTTAATGTAGAAAGCGAGGCACGATTGAACCGATCAGCGACACCAGCAGCTCCTCTCTGTTAAGCTCTAATTCAGGCAAAAAAAAAACAGGCAAAATAAAGAGCTGCTGGATTATATTTAGATTAGAGCCTTCATGCCTCGGAAACCACACACACTGAGGAGTGTGTGTGTGTGTGTAGAGAGAGACCAGATGTGCTGCAGATCTAAGGAACTCTTCTTCCTGGCTGCTC